TACCTATAGCGGGACTTCTTTGCAGTCATGGCATGCCCGTATAATTAGACTCGTAACGCGGCGCTTTGCCGCGAGCCGTGACTGTTCATTACCAGCTACGTACACAAATGGTTGGCAATATGCATTTTTAAACGGCTATATGCCAGACCTGTAATTAGCCGCTCGTCACCCTGCATGGGAACGGGAGAGCAAAGATAAATATGGAGCTCTAAATTGTACCTGACGCATATATACACTCTGTTCCCAGAGAGGCTTGCCAGAGCTGATGACAGTGGTACTATAACACAACATCGCGCGGCGCAAACACGCGACCTGAAACCTGTTTTGCTTCCGAAGGCCACGCATTCATTATCACTATCCACCTCCCCCTTTTTACGCCCGTAATAGCTATAAGTAGCTCGCTTACATCGTAATCGTTGCTCGTTTGGGGTCTTCACCGATGTTAGTTTAATGCAGGAGTGATTCCTGCGCATAGGCACCCGTCAGCCAACGCATTGCAGTTGTGACGCTCGCTCCAAAGCAACTCTGAAGGAATCCTCACTCACGCGCGATCATACAACAATGAAAAACACTAGCAGGGTTACTATCAAGAGCGTATTAAGAAGGCTTGATACGCTCATAATACGCTTCTTACGCCTTGAATACGCTTCTTACGCCTTGAATACGCTGCTTACGCCTTAAATACGCTTGAATACGCCTTCTTAATACGCGCTTGTTATTATGACTAGCGGGCGCGTATATGATGTACGAGAAACTCGCGAAGCTATGAGCACTTTAAGCATGATGAATGTTAAAGCCAATCTCATCTTCATCGATGACAGGTTGAAGTGTTGCCGTAAGCGCCATACGTCACCAAACATCAAATGTAAGCGATAGTGGTAGCGAAGGATTAAATGGTATTATGCGCACCTGCATGTCTGGAGAAACGGAGCCAAACCCATAAACATGTCGACAGAATGCGGGCGTGCGTTCCTGTCAACGCCCGTATGAACGCATGCGGATGTATGAAACGAGGCTATATGTCCGCACTGGAACTCTGGCAGAGATATACGTGATACCACCGGGAATGATCAAAACAAATGTGTTTTAATTCACTCCTGAAATCATAGTATATGCATTGTTGGAGTATAATACCTTTTAAGACAAGCACGATTCCCTGCATATCTGTAATGTCTGTATCACATATTATGTTGTTTGAAGTAGGAAAGTTGTCACACCCAACTGACGTCGCGTTTATAAATAAGTTTATAAATGTTTATCTACTGGCCATACGTACTGTTTGAAGACGGGAAGTCGTTCCCTACCTATTGTTAAAAATAAACGCGTGCGAGCGATATTGACATGAACCATGAAGCATACATAGCACAATGCTACATGAGCATGAAAAGATCGACGTTCATTTTAATATAATTACGGAAGTTTTTATTTTTACATGACATAAACAACACCCTATATATATATATAGACACACGGTTACAACCGTTCCAACAACTCGATCTTATACTAGCTGTTACTACTACGTGTTAGTGTTTGAATCATTCTAACTGCTAGCACTAGAATTACTACCTATATACGACTATTACTACATACTATATTTGCCAACTCTGCTCATGTGTTACGATTAGAAGGCTTACACTAACTACGATAGTTAGAGTTAGAAAACGTACACTATGCGCAACTATTTTGGGTGTTAGCATAAGAAATCACCCCAACAGTGCCTGTTATTGCAGCACAGATTTACCGGTATTGCTCACGTGTTTTTGCTTATCTACAAGAAAAACATTTCTACACCGACAGAATGCGTAATGAGCTTGTATAACGAAAATCAGTATAATAACCGGTTATAACCGGTATATAACCGGTATAACCGGTATATAACCGGTATAACCGTTAAATAAGTTCATTCGGTTGGTAGAATAATATAAATAACCAAGTTAATTTTTTTTTTTTTACATTGGAGAAACTGGCCGAAAATTTAAAACCCGCCTAAAAGAACACCAAAAGGACGTAGACCCCGTCAGCACCCCCAAATCGGCTTCACTAGGACAACGAAAACAGTCGGCTACCGAAATCACAAATCCGCGATCACTGATATGTAGGCGAAGGACAACCACACCATCGATTGGGAGAATTCAGAAGATCATTGATCGCGAGCCTAACAAAATCAGGCGTTGGATCAAAGGAGGCCATTCTGGATCCGCAAGACCCCAAACATCAACCGGGACGAGGGGATACAGGCTTAGTCACTGTGTGGACTAAGCTATTGACCACCACACCCATCTTGGGTCACAAAACACTGATTAACATCAGTTAGCTTGAGAAAGCTTCTGACAGGAGGCGAAACGTCAGCGGTACGTTTCATACCAGCACGGTTGAGTAAAAATAAAAAAAATAAAAAAATAAAATAAAAATTAACTTGGTTATTTATGGTATATAACCGGTTTATGGGCGATATATGTGTTTCGAAAAGCACACAACCGCAAGATGATTGCTGGGAATGTTTGCACCGCTCACATACATAGGTCAATAACAATATTCCAATGCGCACCATAAACTATACGCTACCCACAAAGCTCAGAGAACCCGAATGAGCAGTTGTACAAAATGGCGGCCCTGTCGTCGGTTGTCGTCTCCTTGCTAGTGTTGTGCGTGTGCGTGAAGGCGGCAGCGCCGACAAGTAGATGGATCGAATACATTCCGGGTAACATCACCCTGATACTAGGCAAGTTATATAGTCTGCTTAGTGCAGGAACACGCCTACCGTGACCGTGTAGCATGCAAGAATACATTGGGCAAGCAAAACACACACACATAAACACACACACACACACGCGCGCGCACACACACACACACACACACACACACACACACACCCCCTCTCTCTCTCTCTCTCTCTCTCTCTCTCTCTCTTTCTCTCTCGCTCTCACGCGCACGCGCACGCACACGCACGCACACTTATGTAAATGTCCAGAGAAAGGCGCAGCGAGCGAGGGAAAGAGAGAGACGTAGCGATAGTGAGAGAGAAGAAGAAAGCGTGCAGGAGAGAGAAAGAGACAAAGGGAGAGAGAGAGAGAGAGAGAGAGAGAGAGAGAGAAAGAGAGAAAGAGAGAGAGAGAGAGAGAGAGAGAGCGGCAATGTTTGTGAGTAGTTTTAAAATCGGGTCGTATCTCTCGGGTCTCGAGCTCTTAGTTCTTATACCTATACATCACGCGCGCGGTCATACTGGCGTTATTTAACGCTACGTCATAGTTGTGTCTTCGTTTGTCAATGTACATCGATGTGAACCCTGGTGATGTGACCCACAGGTGCACCACACGGGGGTACTGAACAACCGACCTCCATCCCGGTCCGAGATGCCGGCTGCTACATCAACGGCAAGTGCGTATACCGACACGACTGCGGCACGAAGGACTTCAGCAAGTGTAAGGTGACAACGGTTCAGGACAGCTACACGCTGGAGACAACCAAGGCCGTCGCCGACGCGATGGCCCGTAAGTACGGCGTGCGGCCGCACGTCGTTCTCAATCTTCTGCATCGTAACCGCCTCGATGCGAACCGAGGGAAACCGGACGCTGCGTTCGGCGATACGGAGGCCGAAGCCGCGTGGAATCAGTGGTTTGATTACATAGAGTCCAGTAAGGGGGACGGGATAGCTCTGTTCATAGACCTGCATGGAGTATCCTCACATCCGGAGAAGTGGGTGGAGATCGGGTATCTCATCAAAGGAGCGCAGCTCGACTCCGGAGACTACACATACAACGACTCGTCGATACGCCACCTGGCGAGCCGCGTGGGCATTGACTTCCGTGAGCTGCTGCATGGCAGGGCAAGCCTAGGCTACCGCTTCGATAGGCTCGGATACAACGTGGTGCCATCTCCCACGCACCCCGGCCCGGACGGTGGGAAATATTATTCCGGGGGAGATAACACTAGAGCTCACGGCTCTAAATATGGCGGCATCGTAGACGCGATACAGATCGAAATGCCGAAGCATCTACGCGACGAGGCGATCTGTGTCACGTTCTGCCCCGATCTCGCTGATATAATATATGATTTCTGGGCCAGGTATTACAGGCAACGATAAAAAAAATACCAGATAAGGGCGAAAGCTAATTAGCGAGGGTTAGGGCTAGTATCAATTAATCTGAACTTTTAATTAATCAAATAATGTCTGATCATAGAGCGTTAGATGAATGAAGTGTTATGGCCATATATCCCACACAAAGTGCGTGGTATAATCTAGAAATTTATGAAGTGATATCATCTTATATACAGGTTGTGCTAATATAAATACCGCTTGTGCACTTATACTACGTACGGTACAGGAGGACCTATATGGTGGTGCGATGACTTGGTGAAGATGGAAACATACGCTACAGTAAACATTTATGTAAAATAAACACTGCATAAAAATAACGACTTATATACGGCTTAGTGTATTATATGTGCTAAATTACTGAAAGTGCAAATGACTTGTCCACACCCATGTCACAGCGCAAAAAGACGTACTGACATTCGCGATAAAAAGCATTTAGTAAGAATTTTCTGCAGAAAATCTTTTTACATAGATAGTCGTCACGCACAGAATTACGATTGAATGACTCGATTGCATATGAAATTATTGTAAAAATGAGAAGTCACATACTTCGTCTAAGAAGTCACATAAGTCTACACGACGAACCTTAACTCGAGTTAAGCGTCTACACGGGGGGCCTTAACTCGAGTTAGGTAACTCGAGCTTCGACTGTTAACTCGAGTTAGCTTACCTCGGCAGTCGATTCTGAGGGCTTAGGCTAACTCGATTACCTTAACTCGAGATTATAGGCCCGCTGTTAGACGCCTTAACTCGAGTTAGCTTAACCTCCACGATAGGCGGCAGCCCTAGTACGATGTACGTACACACGCACACCGCACGCGTACTTCCACACGCACGCACACCACTCATGCACGCACGTGTACCTGCACACGCACGCACGCACGCACTGTGTACGTGCACACGCATGCACGCACGCACGCCACGCCACGCACGAACGTGTACCTACACACCGCGCGACGCACGGCACGTGTACTTGCCACACGCACGCACGTGTACGTGCACACGCACGCACGCACGCATGCACGCACGTGTACGTGCACACGCACGCACGCACGGCACGCACGCACGTCTACGTGAACATGCATGCATGCCACGCACGCACGTGTACCTGCACACACACGCACGTACGCACGCACGCACACATCCACACACGTGTACACTGCACAAGCACGCACGCACGCACAAACGTGTACCTGCACACCGCGCGCACGACACGCACGCACGCCACGCGCACGCACGTGTACGTGCACACACACGGACGCACGCACGCACGCAATGCACGCACGTGTAGGTACACACACACGCACGCACGCACGCCACGCACTGTGTACGTGCACACACACGACCGCCACGCACGCACGATGCACGCACGTGTAGCGTTACACGGCGCACGCACGCACGCGATGCACGCACGTGTACGTGCACAACGCACGTCACGCATCGTGTACGTGCACATGCACGCACGCACGCATGCACGCACATGTTACGTGCACACGCACGCACTCACCCGCTATGCACGACGTGTACGAGCACACGCACGCACGAACGCGCGTGTACGTACACACGCACCGCACGCCACACACGCACGTTTACATACACACGCGCGCCGCCATGCATAATAAATCGGTAATAATCGCTATCGGGTGTTGTCGTGTAGACGCTAAAAACCATTTAACGCTTAACTCGCAGTTAGCTTAACTCGAGTTAGCTAACTCGATTAGGTTCGCCGTGTAAACGAGGCTATAAGTCGTCTACACGACGAACCTTAACTCGAGTTAAAGCGTCTACACCGGGGGCCTTAACTCGAGTTAAGGTAACTCGAGTTTAGCGTTAACTCCGAGTCACTTAACCTCGCCGATCGATCGAGGTTAAGCTAACTCGAGTTTAAGGCCTCGTGTATGACGCTTAACTCGAGTTATGCGAATAGTGCACGCACGCACGTGTACTTGCCACACGCACGCACACACTCATCAAGCACGGTGTACGTGCGCACCGCAACGTGGTACGTGACAAGCACGCACGTGTACGTGCACAATGCATGCACGCGACGCACGCACGTGTACCTGCACACACACGCACGTACGCCACGCCACGCACACCTGCACACACGTGTACCTGAACAAGCACGCACGCACGCCACGAACGTGTACCTCGCACACGCGCGCACACACGCCACGCACATACGTGTACGTGCACACACACGACGCATGCACGCACGCATGCACGCACGTGTACGTGCACACGCACGCATGCACGCACGCACGCATGCATGCACGCACGTGTACGTGCACACGCACGCAGCACGCACGCAACGCACGCACGCACGCATGCACGCACATGTGCGTGCACATGCACGCACATCACGCATGCACGCCCAGCGTGTACGTGCAACGCACGCGCGCGCACGAACGCGCGTGTACGTACACACGCAAGCACGCACACACGCACGTTTACATACACACACACACGCACGCATGCATAATAAATCGGTAATAATCGCTATCGGGTGTTGTCGTGTAGACGCTACATAATCGCTAACTCGAGTTAACGCTTAACTCGAGTTAAGGTTCGTCGTGTAGACGAGGCTATGAGTTATATAGTATAGGCAAGTTCCATACTAAGATAGTTGGTAAGTTTACAGATTAGAAATGCAACACTGCCCTTATTTGTCAGTCACCATTAATTTTGCACTAATGTAAGACGTCTATTTCTACCCGTGATGTATCAGTGTTACGCGTGAGTGTGTTTATACACCTTGCTAGCGTCTATGTGAAGAATGTAAGAATGATAGATAACGCACAGTATGAGGTATTCATGAATAACTTTAATTGACACTACTAATCTAGCATCCGCCGTAACGTGGCGAATGCGTACAGTGTAGTACGCGAGTAAACCTCACATAACTTACGAGCGTATAAGTTGTCGTCACTGACTCTAACCAAGATGCCTGTATGACTATTACAATATCGCTCTGCGTGTCTCTCTCTGGTCGAACACGCGGTTATATACCCCCATATAGGTAGACACGCCTACCTATTGTTTCTAGTCAGTCCGTACTACATGCTTGTCTATAATTGGCCTAATTCTATCCTGTCTATTCCCGCGTTACGACTTTACACAGCTGGCCATATATTCCAACCATAACAATAGGCTATTCCTAGATATTTACTTATCCGTCCTTCGACGGTATTACACTAATACGGTAAAAAACAGTGGCTGACGCTGCTGAAAATTACTTTAGAAAATAATTTAATGAAGAGTAGGTAATACAAAGTAAACACATGTGTCATTCTATTTAAACACCATGCGCTGCACGATACGACACTGGCTCACTGATCTCTACTAGTACTATACTAACATTATTATAGTTAGTTATACTGAGACCATACTGAGACATATGCGTCTAAACCATAGAAATGGATATGTCTTAGCTTTAATCTCTGTAAATTTTTAGTCTATTGAAGCGCGATTAGTCTAATTAATTAGCAAATATGCACGCTATAATATAATTTACACACTATTTACTACTATTATTATTTATACCCATAGAAATAATTAACATATACATATTACATCTAGGAATCTACCAGTGTATCGGGAGCGGATTAATGGGCTACACTAGTAGAGCTACATGGAACTTGGAAACGTTTTTTTACATGGGAAACTGGGAATGCCTATGATGATATCAGAGGAGTGAATTATGAGACTATTATTCACTCCTGATGATATCTGGTTCTCAATGACCACAATGCAAATAAGAGTGCATGGCATGTTTTTGTGTATATATCCTTGGTAGCTATCTAAATTCTTGAATTTAAAATTTATTATAACAGTATGTATATAATATATGGATAATTGTCTAAATAACTAAATAAAAATTGATAAAATTCCCCCGTTCCCATCCTATGACAGAGATATCCGCAGACTATATTTTATGTGACACCCTCATTCGCTGCTCCACCAACGCAACAGCATCAACGATGGAGGAACACGAAAGCATGGAACAAGATGAAGAAATGGATGAAGATGATGTAAAATCGGAGAGTAGTGAAGAAGATGAAGCCGATGAGAACGTAGAGGATGGAAAGGTTTATCTTCCCGGAGGGAAAATTGAAGAAGGCGAAGAACTCGTGTGTGATGAGACGGCATACGTTATGTATCATCAAGCTCAAACAGGCATGACTTCGCTCTGGTAGTGGTAGGGTGCAAATCCACTTTAGGCACCTTAGGTATCACGAAGTGATGCACAAATTTCTGTGTATCATCAACTGATGCACAGAATTTCCGTATATCAAGGAATGATGCAAAAACCCTAACCCTAACCCTAACGCTAAGCCCAACCCTAACCCTAACCCTAACACACTTCGTGATACCTAAGGAGTAAGGTTATACTTTATGA